TATAACATAAACAAAACGTAGTTTAATAAAATGTTGAATGTAAGATACTAAAACCTTGTGTCATGCGCAGTAAAGGGTACCCGTGCTGATAGGGTTAATTATGAAAAGTTCATAAAATTTAGCATAATTGTGCTTAAAAGTTGGCAGTCAATAATAACCATACACCCATACAATTATTTCCAAAACTTAAGCAGAAACTGCTAATCTAGTTTGATTGGCCTAATCAATACTTATGCATCTGCTCTTGCTTTAACCCTATAGTTTTGCTGCTCTAAATCAGCTGTCTTCAATCTGAAAGACAAAAACCTAAAATGGTCCACCTTTACTCTTAGGTGAAGTTGTAGTAAACATTTCAGACTGATAGCTCACACGTCTTTTTGCATAGGTGTGTGCAAAAATTTTGGTTAAAATTCAGTAGGTTTTGTTGAATAGCCTTACATGTGGCTTATATTTAGACTAAATCTGACACCTAATTGTAGGTTGTAACAGTCTATCGGTGTAACAAATTTCAAAATAAATGATTAAAGTATGTTTTTCTATTGAATAAAGTTTCCATACTTTTGGTGTGAAAAAAAAGGAAGAAATTCAATCAAAATTGGAGAATTTGTATCTCGTGTACTTCTTAATGGACTGCCTTGAAACTTGGTGTGTGAAGTAAGGATCCAGTAGAGCACATCCGCTGGAAATATATGATAGTTTGGATTACCACAGTTTAAGATACAGAAAGTGGAAAATTGCTAAACTATTACTCCCGTTAATTACACACAGTGCATTATGCAGGTTGTTTTGGCCACATGACACACTGCTCTGTCTTGATCCATACCCACCAACCCTACCTTATTCCATTAGTGTTGCAAGAAATGCCCCCCTTTTTTGGGTAGTGTGCTAATAATTAAAGCTGGGTGTGTAATTCAATTAAACAACATTACTGATCACCTTTGAGTATCAATTACTTTGATTAGTATCACATAAAATAATCAATTAATCAAAATTATAGTTTCAGATTATTACTGCTTTTGATTATTACAACTATCCATGTAATCAACATATTGCCATTGTGTTTTCTCATTATTATTTTTGATTAATTCAAGATTGTTCAGCTTAAACAATTGGTGTTACAACAAGAAAATAATCAACTAACCAAAGTTAGTGTTTCCAATCATTCCACCTATCCAAGTCTCATGTGAGAATAATCGATTAGTTGAATGTAATCAGTTATGGAGCTGTTTGATCAATTGACTAGTAAAGTCGAGTAATCACCCAGCTCTATTGAAAGTAAGTAACAAACATCCCATAAATCTTCTCCTTTTCAGATAATTTATTGTATCGTTGATTTTAAAATACTTATTAATAAAGTAACTGTCACATTTAATGATATATATATATAAAACTTGAAGTATAAATGTTCCAAGCATATGGGTAGGAAATGGTTTGTAACTGAATGTATTTCAATGTGGAAGAAATTTTATAAATAAAAGAATTTTACAGTTCAAAATTCATCATACCAAGAAACACAAAGAATAAAATTCTTCACTATTTTATATAAGTTGTGTATTCAATTTGTAAAACTTAATAAAATGACATCATTTTACTGTTTTAATAACTTATAAAAAAACAAAGAAATATGAAATGAAGAGTGTACATTAAACATGCACTTCATGGATTATTATTCAAGTTTTATATACTTCATTCATACACAAAATACAATAGCTACAAGTTACCAGTGCATAAAAGAGTATGGTTTCTTTGAACAATATATAAAGTGTACATTTGTAATGGTTGTTAACCTTTCATGGATATATTTTAATTTTGAAATGTATGTTAATTATAAATCATCATATAACTATACATTGTAGACATACATTTACACATGTTGTATGAAAGTTTCTTCACACTTAATTTCCATATTTTACATAAAACAGCAATCATTGCAAGTAAGTACAATAATCTACTATGTGTTGTGCCACAGTTGCCAAAATAAGTTCCCTCACACTGAATCCAAATAAGATAAATTAGTCTCTAAAATAAATCCTGGCATACCTGCTTAGGGCGATCCACAAACCTAACAAGTCGATAATCTCCTTTACTCCATTCCTACATTAAAATACAAAAGAAATAGTAATTATTCTTGAACTAAAAATTATATCTGTGCTATAGGGTAAAAATAATGCAACTATCTAAAAAGATTTTAGGGCTTTAAATAATCATCTCTTTTTCGTAAAATTCCACACAAGAAAAATTATTCTTCTCTATTTCATTATTGCAATACAATCAATGATAATTTCACTTTAAAAATCACTACTATGTGCTCTTTATGGCTAAACTCACAATCACAGTCTAGATCTAGCTAACTATCTAACTAACTTGAGCTACATTTTTTACATGTATTTATAGCCCAACAGAGGCCTAGAACTTTCAACACACTTTAAGATATTATGATGCAATAATATTCAATTGAAAGAATAAGAAAAATTTAGAAGGTTCTAGTAACATGATGCAATAATACAAGTGCCAATTCACAACAACTGAGCTACACAACATATGATTTGTACAGTTATGTAAGCAGACCTGCAATAAACTATAGCTTCTAAAAATAAGTAAATTTAACACTTGTTTATACCTAAACCATCTAAATCATAACACTTGCATTAAACTTAAAATTTGTGTATACCTAACACAAAAATTATCAAAAGTGAAGCTGATTTTTCCTAGTTATAGTTACATATTTGTTTGCATTTGAATCATCCAATAAAATCTTAAAAACAAGAAACCATCAGTACATGCCATATCATCAAGCAAGTTACTCTTTTGGGCTAACTATTAAAAAAAAATCTTAAATTTATAACCCCCTAATATTTCACAGAAAATCGGAGTCAACCAAATCATGAACTATATTCCACCTTAGGGCAGCACACTTATGATATTACCTCATCTCTCTCAAATTTTATGGAATATGCAGTGTTGTATGAGGAATTTAACATTATTCTTCAACCCAAAAATTGAAAATAGCTGGAAAAGAAAAAGTGACTTTCTTTTCTTTGGTATAGAGAGAAATCTTTTACTAAACTTTTCACAAAGTCATTGTGTTATTCTAATACAATATCTATAGAGATTCTCTTGAAGCCATTAATTATCAGGAACTGTAAGGACAACCAACAGATTTTCTGTCAAGACTGCACATAACACTTGGAGGTGCAGAATAATGAAACTGGAGGTGATGAAAAAATGATATTGTTGATTATCAATAGAGAAAAAAGAACAGGAAGCCACAGAACAATGCAGGGTGACTCCCTAATAAAACTGTTTCATTGTGAATTTGTTGTGAGCCAAAGACTTAAAGCTAGAGTTGAGTGGTTACAGAGGCAGCTATTACTGGCCAGACAAACATGGCCAAAGCAGTGAAAGTAGTTAACTCTGGAGAGACATACAATACTCAAATCAAGCCATACAGATTCTTACATTTTATTCCAACATTTCTGGATTTCCAGATTTCATGTGGACTGTATTCTGTTATCAAAAATTATACAATTGGTCTATTTGACTCAGATGTTTAATGTTAAGTCATGAAATGAGGTAATGGTCCAGAGGTACTTTCTACACATAGCAAATGTTCAAGCCTATATCTTGAATACTTGAATCAAAAAGTTTTGAATTTTAAAACCTCTCAAAGTTATCAAATATTCTATAAAATAAGAGTCATTCCAATACATTTAGTTACTCTTTTCTTTCTCTTAAGAGACTCACCTGATAAAAATAATATTCTAACACATCAATCAATTAGCACCAAGCCTAAAAATAATGAATTTTCATAACTTTTTCCACAATTATGTAACAATAAATTTCCAAAAGTACCAAGAGTTATCTAGTATAGTAACCTCATGATAAAAATCCTAGGTATTCTTATAAAATACTACAAATTAGATTTTATTACTTTTTATATGTACATAGTGACACGTTCTTTATAATCACATGCTTCACCATGTCTTTATATATATATATATATATATATATATATGTGTATATATTGTACATGTAGACATTTCTAATTTCAACAGCATGAAAAGTTTATAATAATCATACCTGATTCTCCTCAAGAATATTAATATACTTCTACATCCCAAATGTATAATTTTAAAATAAATAATTGCACAGTGCTGAATGCATTTCCTACAGTCTTTACCATTTACAAAAACTATAGAGATCCCTTTAACCCTTAAACTACCACACATTCTTTAAACTCCTTTCTGAGCTATTCATGAGGTTTTACTGAGTTACATTCAAAATTTAATTAAACCACTTTACTATCAATGTATTTTAATCAAATTAGCATTATCACACAAATTACAATTAAAAGTTTTATATTATCTAAGCTTTAATTCCTTTACTTCAAAAGAAATCTTGAAATAAAACTACTTAAACTTCAATTTTGTTGTAACATGACCCATGAACAATCACAGAAATTAACTTCTTGTCTCTATTACTTGACAGCTCATGCACAGTGTACATGTATGTCTAGACTGAATTCTACTTCTACTAGTACACAACCTCCTGATGAACAAACCCGAAGATATGGACATGAATGCACAATGGACATGGGTAGGTAAGCATTGGAAACATCGACCTTGGTCATCCTAAGATCTGGAGAAAATGCCCACTGAAGAGAAAGGTATGTCTCCATGGTAAAGTGAGGAGTGTGAACATACTAATTGAGATGATATAAATCAATGATAGGATGCCAGTCCCAGGTCTTCTTGGGAAACACAAACAGGCAGGAGTAAAACCCCCATGAACCTGGTGGAGCTGGGTCGATAGCCTGTTGTGCGATGAGTTCCTGAACTGCCTCTGACAGATGCTGGCATGTCGAGGGATCCCGAGGAGAAGGGAGAGAAAGGGAATAGCATGTGCCTCCAAGAGCACTCTGTGAACCTAGACATTGGCAAGAAAAGGTCCCCACCACTGAATGAAATTCAAGAGATGAGCCTCCGCTGGGACTGAACCGACCCCATAGTCATGGGTACTGCTGTCAGTGGATCATGCATTATCGAGGAAATCGTTGAACAGTGGCACTGCGGGAGAGTAAGACAGGAGAAGATTGGGAAGGTCGGGGGACAGGAACTGGTGACAATGTTAGTAAGGGAAGAATTTTGATTGGGCAAGGCCACCCATGACTCCAAAGGCTCAGGAACCAAGTCCAACACATAACACCGCAAAAATGGTGTCATGCAAAGGTCCCTCAGATAAGAAACCTGGAGATGGGTCCATGCCAAAACCGCATCATGGCCCAAAAGGAACCAACAAGAAATAAACCCTGTTTGAAGTGCACAGCCAAAGACAACAGATGAGCCAACATAGAAGTAAGGATGGAAAGGATTTCAGCAGAAAACCCCTCAGGGTTCCTGTGAAGAGCCTCTGACAGAAGGTGAAAGAAAGAAAAGGTACCTTAACAGGATCATGAGGGTGAGAAAATTGGGCTTGGATAAGCTGGATAGAGTAATCCAGGTTCTGCCCCCTAAACAGATAGAACCAGCCCCCAACATCTGTTGGTCGAGAAAGGGAAAGTCTGCCCAATGATAAGCAAGGGTGGACTGATCTGAAGTCCGTGGGGGGGAGGCATATTAATACCCTCCCCCAGTTGAGAGGCAAATAGGTCCATGTGAACCCTAATATCAGGGATGTGGGAAAGACTAAATAGGGTTGGGAGGTTGTCTCATATAAGAGGGAAGATCTAGGGCCATAGGAAACAGGTGTAAGAGACAAAACATCACATAGCTGAGAGATAAGTATGAAAAACCAATGACGAACAAGCTGAATCATCAGGTAGTTAATGGGAAGGTGTCCAAAACTCCAGGGGGGGGGATGACAAACAATCAAAATCATCATTAGCCTGGCCCAGCTTGAAAGGCTCAGTAGGAAGTGGAGCACAAGTAGGCGAGAGAGAGGGATCGGCTCATGTAATGCTCAATCTCCAAGCGAATGACCGACAACATATCCCCTGATGGGTCACCCACACCCGTGACTGAAAATACAAAATCAGACGCTGGCAAAGTACCCAGAGTAGTGACTGTAACCGCAGAATTCATAAGCGGGAAAAGTGGCAAAAACGAGGAAGTAATGCTATAATAAAAATATTAACTTCACAACTGTGAAGTGTAGTAAATAAAGTTAAGAAAAATATAAAAAATGCAAAATAAAAAATAAACCACTTCAAGGTAACTGAACAATGTAAGAAAGAACATCTGAACTCGACAGCTGCCAAACAAGAAGTGATAGTTTGGTAATGGCATGAAGTGGGAGTCAGATGCATCACGTGATAGTAGTGTCTCCTAATGGTGGAGAGGTGATACATGATGATTTGCATGAGAGATGTGTTGGAACTTTGGATTCCAACAGAGGGATGATAAAGGCTTGTGGCATGCATTTCTGAAAATATTCACATACAGAGGGCAGCACAAAACAAGAAAAGCTAATCTTGTGAGTGGAGGGAGAGTACCTCAATGGAAATCTTGTCTTACAAATTTTTTTACATTCTTTCAGAAGGTTACTGCTTATTTAGATGAAGGTAAGGGTGTAGATTTGGTGTAGCTGGATTTTCAGAAAGCATTTGACAAGGTGTCACATAAAAGGCTTATAAAAAAAATTAGCTCTGTAGGTATGGGGGCCAAGTTAGCAAATTGGATAGAAGAGTGGCTGGATGGAAGAAAGCAAAGGGTTGTTACAAGTGAAGTTCAGTCAAACTGGATTAATGTCATATGTGGGGTACTTCAGTTCTTAGTCTTAGAATCTTTGCTATTTTTGATTTACATCAATGATACATATGAAGGAATGGTCAATGAATTACTTAACTTTGCTGATGTTATTAAGATCTTGGGTTTTGCTAGCTGTGAAGAGGATGCTACTGCTTTACAAAAGGATTTAGATCATTTAGTGAATTGGGCAAATAAATGGCAAATGGTTTCCAATTATAATAAATGCAAGACAATGCATGTGGGTTACCATAATTTAAATTATAAATATAATTTGGATAGAAATAACCTTAACAGTGTTAAGAAAGAAAGGGATCTTATTGTGCTGTTGTTAGTGGTAGGGTAAATAGGATTGTATGTTGTATCTACAGAAATGTTGAATACAAGTCTAAAGAGGTTATAATTTCATTGTATTGGCCAGTGGTTAGGCCACATTTAAAGTAATGTGTTCAGTCTTGGGATCCTTACTTTAGGAAGGGCAATGAATTGTTGAAAAAGGTTCAGAGAAGGGTTACTAGAATGATGCCTAGGATGGAGGAATTGTCATATGGGGAAGAGGTTCAGATCCCTCATATTGTTTTTTCTTGAAAAAAGAAGTGTTAGAGGAGATCTGATTGAGGCATTTAAGATTGTAAAGGGAATTGATAGCATTGATGCATTATCTTTTTTTTCATACTTAACAGTTAGAACAGTGGGACTAGGGTCACAAAAATAAATTTTGGCAGAGTAGGAGTCATCTTCAGCTAAGACAATTATTTTTCTATCAAGATGGTTGGTCTTCGAATGAGTTGCCTTCTAAAGTTGTGGTGGCAGTATATCTGAGTTTAAGAGAAAGCTTGATAACTGTATGATGTTAAGGGATGGCTTCAGGATCACTTTAAATTTATTTATTGAATAGTTTAGTTTAGGGGATGGGACAGATGAGATGAACCAATATGTCCCTTGTTGTCCCAAAACATTATGTTATGTTGACTGAAGAATACAACCTGAGCAGAAATAATTATGATAAACCTAACATTTGAAACCATAAGAATATTTCTAATTATAACTCACAGTACTCTAAGTGAGTAATTCTCATACTATTCTGCTCCTTGATCTCTCAAACATCTGGTTTCAATTCTCTTTTAGTTTAAACTTCTAATCCCTACTAGGTTACAGTTCAACACAATTATTGAATGCTGACAGAACATTTGATCAATTAGTTTACACATTGCAAAAAAAACTAATTTACATACCTTCATGGTTATAGTTAACCAGAGGAAATACCTTAGCGTCACTGAGTATTAGTTATTTTGTTCCACAGTAAAATGTAGTGCTAAAATGAATTAACTAATTGAAGTGAGTGGGTATTCTTCACATAGAAACTCAAAAACAGCTCAACTACGTAATACTAATAGTAGAAAACATATAAAATACAATCATTATCAATGAAATATGAAGGCATAACACCTTAGAAGACTAAATGGTCTATAATGTTTGAGCAACTCTTATCACTCTTTGAAAATATGTGTAATGTAAGAAACTCTCCAATCACCAGACACCAGCCCATTGTCAACTGACCTATCAAAAATAAAAGTCCATATATCTGAACTTTGACCTCCTTTAATTTTTAAAACCCTGTGGAAAACCTTATTTCACCTTGGTTCTGTATTTATTTTTAATCTGTCAATCTTTCTACTCGTCACCTAGGAATTATTATCTACATGATTCATGCCAATTCTACTGAATGTTCTGGGCTAGAAATATTGTTCTATCTTCTCTTTTAAAAATAGAAAAGAACATTTAAAATCTCAGCCATCTCATAACCTTTAACAATAACCTTGTCTTCAGCATCCTTTATGCGCCCAATCCACAATTTAAACTTTTTATTATATTTAACATACTTTACTATAAGCAACAGAGTGCCTTAACAGTTTAAGTGATTATTTAGCACTGCAAAAATCCTTTCACCAGTCATGCTATTAGTGGGTAGGTTTCCATATGTACTAAAAATGTGACCCGAAATCATGTAACTGAAATGAATAAAGTAGCATATAATATAATTTGCCAAAGCACTTGCACAACTAACCAATTAATTCAAGTCTTTCTGTTGTATCTCAATATCCACAATGATGCTGAATATATCCACAAATTATCCACTTGTTTTTATACTGTTCATTGCCTTAAACTAAGTTAAAGTCAATGTATTGTCACAGTTAGGAAGTGTTCTAATTTTAAATAATCATTTCTAGTTTATTTTGTTTGTTTTTTGTTGTTTTTTTAGTGAAATTTAACAGTTTGTGCAGTTATCACATATTTTGGATTGATCTTTTACGTGATAAAAACATTTTCCATTTTTGATTGATTTTTACAAAATGAGTAAATGTGGCTACAGTACTGCATTTGCATCACATTAACTCATGATGTTTAGGAAATGTTACGTTTCACTTGTAACCACAAGCAATGTAAAAACTAACATTACAGTAAAAAAAAAAAGGATGAAATCACTCATTTTATTTTTAAAGGTAAAAGTTAAACATGGAAACCCTAGCAGTAGCCTAAGTTATAGTAATAAATACCGCAGTTATTCTCAATAGCTTAGGGAATCTATTGGCAAAGCCACGGACCCGCAATCATAGTTTTGTTTAGGTTTAAAAATTAAAATATAGAAAGTGTTTAAAAAACAGACTAGGTCTCAACTGCAATTGCACTTTACAATTTTGTAGGGTTAGCCTAATTCTATTTTTAGGTTTTAATGTTATGTTTTAACTAAAAACTACAGATGAGAAAACTGAAAAGGTAAACAAATGTATATTAAAGAATAAACCTACCTGACCAGTGTGAGTTTTCTTTTCTTCTGGTTCCCACCTCTTCTTGTTACCAAAATGAAACACAGTAGAATAACATCTTACCTCTTGAGATTGGAAAAGAGACACAATCTTCGAGCGAATTAAAATTCCAAAATACGCCATGATACGAGGAAAATAATATACCCTAATCGTTGCACTCGTTATTCATTCGCGCTTCTCGTTAAGGTGTAATCAAACTAGTACAAAAGTATTATATTGCTTCATATTGTGTCTTAAATTCAGTAACGAGAATAAGCACCAAAATTATTTTATATTTGTAATGCTATCTTTTACAATAAATCTCGAATAAGTTTATATTTTTAAAAACGGCACATTTGTCTAATAAGAAAACACATTGTTTATGAGACTCTCTTGACCACGTGTTAAGTAAAATTTACACATGTTTAAAACAAATAATAAATATAATGCTACATGAGAATAGAAACATAAAGGATATTCATAAACCACGCGTATTGTGACAATTTACATTTGCATGTGGCACTAGTAAGAAAATATTGGCTTCGAATAGTTAAATACAAAACAATAACTTTGTGAGTTGCTAGGACATGTTTATTTAAGCATTATACATAGCACAAGACACATTTGATATAGACTGGACTGAGAGGTGAGAACAGTGTTTTATAATTCTACTATATAAATTATTAATTACATAGCAAACTTACTAATACCACTTATAACAGGCACCTCTAAAGTATAATATGCGGCTATAGCCTGTAGAGTGGTAGGTGAACAGGTGATCTACCCCATTACTATTTCCTTTCATCTCCCTAGTTAAGTATTTATATTTTGCAGCTCAGCATATATGGACGTCACATCTTTACAATGTTAATATGTGGGGTGTTTTCATACGAAAACATATGTATGCCCGTTTGTAGAATTTATGCATGCATAATGCATTAAAGGTAGTGTTACGTCTCCGTTCGTTAGTTAATTTTCCGTAAATTCTTTCAGACTAAACTTTAGCGACACAAGTCCTTTCTTAAATAAAACTGGTTTATTCTTTCCGAATACAACTTTACGATACACTTAATTTCAACAGTCGCTCTGTAACAAACGCTTAACTCACGTCTCACGTGGCCAACATAA